CCTTATGCCTCAGTTTCAGGGCAAAGAAATGGGATGTTTTGAGTTGGGGATGTAGAAAGGAAGGACCTGTATTTACTTCTGACAGAATAGACACAGCACTCAAACCACAGGAAAAGAGGCCAGGAACTTAGCTGTGAGTCAGCCAGATCCAAGGTTAAGAGGGTGTGGTAAGAGGGGATGGGAAAGAAATGACTAAAAGGGGTTAATGAGGCTTATTAATGCAAACCTGAACTCTATAAGCAGAAAGAGTGATCTTGAAGAACTGAAGGGAGGGGACTCTCGAATCACTTAAATAGCATTCATATTCAGAGTTCATATGGGTTTATTTTTTCTTTCCTTTTTTCTTAGCTGGAATTCTTCAAATAAGGAAAATACCTCCCCCGTCTAGCTGATTTGTTTGTAAGTAAAACCTCCAAGTGAGGAAGGAGATTTTTGCTCTCTGCCCAGTGCATCCCCACCTGCATCAGTCATTAAGCCCAGGAAAAGGCAGACATCTGTGAAACAGATTTCCCTTAATCAAATTGATGTGGCCATAAGAGAGAAATAGTGGACATTATATAGACATTGGAATGCAAAATGAGTTTTTCTGGAATTGACCATATTTGCACAAAGCCAGTCTTCATATTAAGATTGTTCACCTTCTCTGCCTCTCTGATGAAGTTTGGAAAAGCATTGTTCCAATTCACCTTCCTCTAGCTGCATACCTCATCATTCATGTGTACCATTCCCTGTCCTAGAAATGCATTAACCCGATAGATGTTGAGAGTCCATGAAGGAATGTAAGTCCTGAAATCAGACTGCATAATTTCAATTCTCAGCCCTGCCCGATCTGCATGATCTTGGTTGAGTTACTCAACTTCATTAAATAAAAGTTTCATTTGTAAAACAGAAAAACTAGGGGCTAGAGAGATGGCTCAGCAGTTAAGAACACTGACTGTTCTTGCAGAAGACCTGGGTTCGAATCCCAGCACCCACATGGCAGCTAACAACCGTCCATAACTCCAGTTCCAGGGGATCCGACAGCCTCTTCTGTGCTCCTCGGGCATTGCATGACACAGGTGCACTTGCCTACATGCAGGCATAACACTCATACACATAAAAATAATAAATGAAATAAATAGAAAAACTCGTGATCATATGATTCTGTGTGTGTGCACAGGTACACATATGTGTGCAGATGTACATGTATATGAAGTCTAGCAGGTACCTCAGGTGTCATTCCTTAGGCAATATCCATTTCTAATGACCCAGAACTCACCATCTACACTAGACTAGCTGACCATTGAGCCCCAGGGACCTACTGTATCCACTTCCTCAGCCCTGGAATTATAAGCATATGCCACAACACCTGTACTTTTTTTTAATACGGATCTTGATGCTTGTAAGGCACACATTTCCCCAGCCCAGAAGTTACATAATTCTTAACCTTACTAATGGTAGTTACTGTGGGGGCCTAAAGGCCCCACCTTGCATAGGTCCGAAAGGAAGTTACTGGGGCCGCAGCCTGGCTTGCTTTGAAAGTCTGAAGAATACTTCCACACTGCTGAGGAGTGCATGATCAGCGCGTGACCATCCTTAAGACACACCTTGGGGGGGAGGGGGGATTTCCAGGCGCCTTTATAAGCTCTGTAACACCTGCAATAAATGAGTCCCTGCTTGACTAGACTCCCCATTGTGTCTGAGTGTCCCCGGTACTGGGGGCAGCATGGGCTGGTGAACGGGTGCTTACTCATCCCCAATCATCACTGCCTGGGGGTCACTGGTTCGAACCCCCGGCAGTTACATTATATGTAAAATGTTCAGTACATCATCTGACTCAAAACAGATAATTGGGGCTGGAGAGATGGTTCAGTGGGTTAAGAGCACTGGCTGCTCGTTCAGAGGACCTGGGTTTGACTCCCAGTACCCATATGGCAGCTAACTCCAGTTCCAGGGGATCAAATGCCCTCTTCTGACTTCCACAGGCATTACACAACGTGGATTCACTTACACACATGCAGGCAATGCACTTATACACATGAAAAAATAAAATATATTTTTTAAAAACATAATTGATTACTCTATCATTTGTTAGAATGATAGGGCAACACTGAAAGATTTGAAACTAAAAAACTTTCTTAGTTAGGTGGTTTTCCAAGCAAACACCTGTCAACTTGTGTGTCTATGAATTTCTTTGAGACACTTTGAACTTCACAGAATTTATGCTTCACTAATAAGTGTTCCCTTCAACCACCACACCATTCCAGCATTTCAGACTTCCACATTACGTAAGTTTTCTCTTTGATTGAACTCAAGAATACTGTCAGCCAGAATAGTTTAGAAACACATCCAATTTGTTTGTTCTGTGTCATGACCCTGATGAGTCTGCAACTCAGAAAGGAAAAGAAAGATAGAAAATCAAGACCAACGGTTGAAAAATAAAAAAGGAGGGGTTGTGTGGGGCAAGGAGGAAATTTTCTATTCAACCTTCTTTTCCAAAGGCAAAATCTGAAGCCCACAGATGTAGTAAGACTGCTCCAAAGCCACTCACCCAAGTGAACATAAAACTGTTACCAATAGTAAAAGAAGAAGAGATGGACAGGAGTTTGGGAGTGAAAAAAAAAAAGAATAAAGGTAAAGGAAACATCAAGATATTCTTCTAAACCTCTCTCAAAGGAATAAAGAGGGACATATAGAGGTCCATAATTCATAAGGTACCTTTGTTGGTAACTACTAGGAATCTGGAGAGTAAAAAGAGCACTGGACTGGGAGCTCTAAATCCCTGGACTCATCACCATGTACAGTATCAAGTGTGTGACAACCACTTTCATAACTTTTTAATTTGGAAGTTGTCACTACATAATTCCTGAGGTTGTTTACACTTCAGTGGCCCATGGTTCTGTGACTCTGTTATTGAGTTCCATGGTCATTTGGGGCTTTGAATGTCAAGTGAGTCCAAGGGTTTATGTATTTGAATATTTGGTCTCCAGCTGGCAGTGCTGTTTTGGGAGGCTGTGCTGTTACAGGAGGTAGAACTTAGCTGAAGGAAGTAGGCTGCTGCAGGAGGGCCCCGAGTTTTATAGCCAGGTCCCACTTCCTATCCTGTCTTGCTTCCTGTTCCATTGAGCTGTAAGAATGTAAGACTCCCTGCCATGTACCTCCAGAGCCATGTGCCTCCACAGCCTTCCCTGCCATGCTGGACTGTATCCCCCTCAAACCATGAGCCAAAATAATTCCTTGTTCATTTAAGGTGTTGTGTGTCATGTGTTACGACTGTTTTAATTGTCAACTTGATCCAATCTAGAATCACCTGGGAAAAGAGTCTCAGTATGAGACTGTCTAGATCAGGTTGGCCTCTGGCCATGTCTGCAAGGGACTGTCTTGAATATGTTGATTGATATGGGAAGATCCAGCCTAAAAGTGGATGATATCATTCCTGGATTTTGATCCTGAATTGTATAATAATAGAAAAACCATGGCTGGAGAGATGGCTTAGCGGCTAAGAGCATGGACTGCTCTTGCAGAGGACCTGGGTTCAGTTCCCAGCACCCACATGGCAGCTAACAACCATCCATAACTTTATTCCAGGGGATCCAATGCCATCTTCTGACCTCTGCAGGCATTGCATGACATGAGTGCACTTACATACATAGGTATATAATAAACATAAAATAAAAATAACAAAAAATATATTTTAAAAAAGAATAGAAAAACCAAGCTGAGCAATAAACATACATTCTCCTCTCCCACCCCCACCGTGGATGTGACTAGCTTCCCTGTAATGATGGACTATAACCTAGAATTGTAAACCAACTAAAGTCTTTCATCCTACATTGCCTTTTCAGGGTATTTCATCACAGTGACAGAAACAAACCTGTAACGGGTATTCTGGATTAGAAAAAGTCACCAAGGAGCTCCAGTGTCAAGCAACATTTAGGCCAGACCAGGTGGCATCTTTATACCAGGGAGAAAGCCACCTCATCTAATCAAAGCCCAGAGAAAAGCTGTAGGACTGAGAGGATAAGAGCAGGCTCAAGTTTCTCATTCTCGCAGGGTCTACCAGATGACTCGTGTTGACCTGCTAGTTTGGCTGTGTCACGCTGACCTGATAGTGAATCCCCTGGGGTTCATCCAGGGCCACCTTTGGACAGTCCTCAGCTACCAGGGGTCTTCATGGCATCCACCTAGAAGCCATGAATCACTTGGAGTGCTGGCCACATTAGCAAGATGGAACGAGACCCAAGATCTTATCCTTGTTCTGTGTGTGAAATGGATAAGGTTTGAATGGGTGGAGAGGATGGAAAATGATGTTCAAGAGATATTAAATTGTTTGGCCCTGGGGGTGGTGGTGGTGGTGTTGTTTTGAGACAGGGTCTCCGTGTAGCCCCAGTTGGCCTGGAACTTAAGAGATATTTGAAAGGACAAAATATGATCAATGACTTGGAAAAAACTTTTGTAGTGAGACATCACCAAAGAACCGTGGAGGTTCCCTGGCCACATGGTGGCAAAGCCAATTAATACTTTGTAAATTGAGAATTCCCATTAAAATACACCTTTCCCACAGTCAGAAGAGAAGAAATTCACAAACAGCTAGGCTGGGTCTATGGAGCACTGCCTCAGAGAACAAAGGGTACAGTCGGGCAATCAAATTTTAATGTGGATGTGGATTTGAACGTATCCTACCTTATTTTAAAACTCAGCAAAACAGTCTGTGTATCTGGACTCTAAAAAAATTCCCTGCTAAGCACTCTAAGGCTTCAAAGATGCTGTCAGATGACCCTCTATCACACAGAGAGAGCTGGTGCTACTCTATTGGGCCTGCCACCATAATGGATGGTCACACAAGGAATGAGTGAAACTAGTCTTTGAAGATATTACAAAGGGTTTACCAACAAATCTGAGAAACTCATGTGTATTTGAAATCTTTTGAAACTCTTTAAAGATATAAAAAGATGGGTGTTGGTTTCTCTAGCTGATTGGCTTATTGACTTGCAAATAATAACTTATGTGTTTTCTTTCAGGGTCTTTCTTTCCTGATTTCAAGCCCCCGGAAACAGTTTTTAAAATAGTATTTTGGCTCGGATACCTAAACAGCTGCATCAACCCCATCATATATCCATGCTCCAGTCAGGAGTTCAAGAAGGCCTTTCAGAATGTCTTGAGAATCCAGTGTCTCCGCAGAAAGCAGTCTTCCAAGCACGCCCTGGGCTACACCCTGCACCCACCCAGCCAGGCCCTGGAGGGGCAGCACAAGGACATGGTGCGCATCCCTGTGGGATCAGGAGAGACCTTCTACAAGATCTCCAAGACAGATGGGGTCTGTGAATGGAAGTTTTTCTCTTCCATGCCTCATGGATCTGCCAGGATTACAATGCCCAAGGACCAATCTACCTGCACTACAGCCCGGGTGAGAAGTAAAAGCTTTTTGCAGGTCTGCTGCTGTGTGGGGTCCTCGACCCCCAGCCTTGGAGAAAACCACCAAGTTCCAACCATTAAGATCCATACCATCTCCCTCGGCGAAAATGGGGAGGACGTCTAGAGAAGGGGAAAGGTCACAGGCAAAAGGATGATCCTAGATACCACCACTTTCGGCTCAGAAGGCCAGTGCATTCTTCCTGAAGGACAAGCCAGGACCATCCATTGAGGGGAATCATCTGGGAATGGGGAGGGGGCGGATACCAGCTCATTAGGCAGTGGGTAAGGCCCAGGGAAGAAGCGGGATGTCTAGCCACCAACCGGTTCTAAATGACGCAAGACACACTTCTCTTAGCACTGGCTCTCGGTCATTCTCTGAGCCTGCTTTCTGCAACTGACCCTTTCAACGAGAAATACCATGGGAACGAAAGCTTCATACACAATCCAAAGGACTATAAATATAGGATTATGATTTCATCCTGAATATTTTGAGCATGCACTCTAAGTTTGGAGCTATTTCTTGATGGAAGTGAAGGGATTATTTTTCAGGCTAAACCTACTGACAACCACAGTTGGCATGTATGGAGAGAGAACCGAAACAGGAAAGACTGACACAGTGGCCAATGTCCTGGCGCATTGCTTTCACAGCAAGTTTTGATGCTCTACCAGATTCTCAGCTGGGGTGAACTTTCACAGAGAACTTTACCTGTGCTTGCTTTTTGGCTGGCTCCTCTTTGGAACTAAGGTGCATTTTCTACCCTTAGATCAAAAGAGTGGCCTGGACCAGCCAGGGATAGCATGCTTTAATCAAGAGACGATGGTGGGCCTGAGGCTCATTTTTCAAGTTAACTACTTTCAGCAGTTGCAAGACCAGGTGAAGGAAAGCTGCTTCTATAACCTATTTAAAGAGCTTTGAGAAAGGAGCTGGAGAGACGGCTCAGTGGTTAAGAACACTGGCTGCTCTTGCAGGGGACCTAGGTTCAGTTCCCACCACCCACATGGCCACTAACAACCCTGTGTAACTCCAGATCCGGAGGTCCAACACCCTCTTCTGGCCTCCTCAGGCATTGCATGACACAGGTGCACCTACCTACCTGCATGCAGGCAAAATACTAATACACATAAAATAAATTAAAGAGCAAGGGGTGGGGTGGGTGCTAATTTCAGACTAAGACAGAGGCTGCCCAGTTAGTCAACAGCCTTTGTGATGTACCAGATTATTTACCTTTTCTAGAACTCCATGTTAAAATCCAGGAAAGGCAAAATATTGACCCCCCCTTTCTTTTCCCCTTTCTTCTCTCTTGCTTCATCACTGCATAGGGAATGAGGTTCACTTGTGGCATGCTGAAATGAGCCTTAGGGTCCAGGTACATCCCTCCTGAGCTTCCAAAGACACTGATGCTTAGCCTCAAACACACAGTGACTGATTGCCAAATGACTACCCAAAGCAGGATTTGGCAAAGATACTATGCCAGAACTCAGTTTAGTCTAGCAAAAGGTATTATAGCCCTTCAGTTTCATCCATTCTTACTTTCTACAGAAACGTGAGGAACATGCTATTTTTTTCTTTATATATACCAAATTTTATAATCCTTAATAATTCAAATTATAATGAATTTTGACTATGGTAATATGGAAAAAATGGGAATATGTCTGCCATTCCACAATACAAATTGTAAAATGAGGTTTATGTTTGTGGCACAATCCCTACCAAGAATCACTGATCCAAAAGTCCTGACAGCTTCCATAGCTTCTTGCCCTACATACCTAATTTCTTCCAAGAACTTCAAAGAAGGCTAAAGCTGTCACGAAATCTTCATAACAAGGCTTCTGGCCCCATCATCTTTCCTCTCTTCCTCTGCGTCAAATTAAACATTCCCAGAAGGCTCACTAAGGCAGATCTCTGACACGCATTGCGATAGAGGGCACGTGTGCATGTGGCTGCGGGTTTTCTGGTTGGTCTGACTTGGGTCTTTGAATGTGGCTTCTTCCTCTGCCTTTTCCTGGATGATGTCTTCTTATTGGCTAGAGAGATAGCTGCTTGGACTTGTGTTTGGAACTTGGATTCTGCCACTGAGAAGTTGGCTGCAATTTTAGGCTCTCCTGGGCTCTCTCTATGATTCATAACAGCTCTACCAGATGTGGGTGTCAAGGCATCTAGGGAGAACTTGAACATGTAAGCCTTGCTTACCTTCTGCTTGCTAGGGTACACTGTTGAGTAGAGCTTCATTCCCAATCTGAATTTAAAAATCACTGTTGGCCATGACATTCATTGCCTTATAGGAAAAGCATCCTTGTGGTAAGAATGACCCTGTCTTTTCTTCAGCAAAATATGATTCTCTAAAACCCTTAAGGGATAAAAATTAAGAGTTAGAAGTGAAAAAGCTTATGAGTACCAGAAAGCTAGCATTAACGTCACTTCTAATCAGAAGAAACAACTGGAAAATCTTTGGGCCATCAGATAAAAACCATGACAATTGTATCCCTGTAAAGTTATCCATAAACAATTGTCTGCTACACTCCTCCAGCCTTCTTCTCTCTAGGGAGACAAGTACTTAGCAGTTTTTTTTCCATTCCCACAGCATGATACTGGGTAGAAACACACAAGTTTTATAAGCATTTGATGTCACCCAAAACTTAGTGACAAAGGTGGACTACCCAATATAAAAGTTGAGTTGCTTTTTACTCATCCACAAAAAAAGAAAAAATCTGTACCTTTAAGCGTGCCAAAAAGTATCTAAAATTGTTACAGCCAAACAAGAGATTGACATGTTTATATTCACATGTTTACTGTTTCTATTTGGAGTTTGAGGAATTTACCCAGAGTAACCTTAGCTAAAATGTTTTCTCTAACGAGTTCTAAAAAGCAATTTCTTTGGGATTGTCTCCACATCACATAAATCAATGGAACATTATAGGGTAGGCAAAATTTGAGTTCAATCTCAAGTTCAGATTGTGTGCATGAAGAAGGATCTTGAATCAACTTTGAATCTCTTTATTCATTTTTTCCCAAGGAGTTGGGTTTGTAGGTCAGTTGGTAGAGTGCTCGCATTGCATATACAAAGCCTTTAGTTCAGTCCCAAGCACTAAATGACCCAGGGGTGGTGGATCGTGCCTGTAATCCCAGCACTCAAGGCCATCCTCAAATACTTAGTAAGTCTGAGTCCAGTCTAGGCCTTGTGGAACCCTGTAACAAACAACAATAACAACAAAAATAATCCCCAGATTATACTATTATAAGAGTTTCAGAAAAAAACACTCTTCATGGTTTCTGTCCTTTCAAGTCTCATCCAGCACTGCTTCTGCATGGAGTCACTCTGTATACTCCACATTCTTCAAAGTTACTGTGATTTCTAACTCTCACCATTGACTCCGATTGGTCCATCCATGGTGGGCAGTCATATTTGGATAACTAAATACTTCCTGAGAGCATTTCTATTTGTTCTGTTATATGGCAGAGCTCATTGGCTCTAAACCTCTAGTAACTCTGTTCCTATTTTAGAAACAAAAATCTAATGGTTAAAAGTGGCTAAGGACTTGTCTAAGGTCCAAGAGGAGCCATGGCGCAAACCGAGGGATTTGAGCCCAACTTTAAGCATTCATGTTTTCTATAGCACCCCTGCTCCACACACAGTGTCAGGGAGGCACCTCCAGTTTGAATCGACAGGATCAGGAGACTAATACATAACCAAGCTTGAAAGTGACTTACATCCTTGGGGTTTGCCTATAAATTAATCTTAGCAAACATGCCATCAAATATCCAACCTAGTCAGATAATTCTGTATCTATAATTCTAACTATCAGACTGGACCGCTTTTGAGGACATAATTGCCAGAATGTTGCTAAGGCCTTACAAGGACAGAAGGTTATACTGAATAGGACTTACCGTGTATGGTGGAATACATAAGGTCCACTGGGAGGATGGGGGAGGTGTGACTGGGGGAGAGGGTCTAAATTTGATTAAGAACTGTTGAATGAAAATACGAAAGCTCAGTAATTTAAAAAAAGAATACAAAAGAATGTAAAATTGGCCAAGAATAAAAAGACCCAGTGGTGGATGGGACACAAATTGGGTGGTGTGTTGTAGTCTTTGATTACCAACCGTGGTTAATGTGGACTTAGGAAGCATATCTTTTCAAAAATACATAAAACATAGACATCCCTCACGCTTACTCCCCCTGCATTCCAGCCTTTATAGGTTTATAGGTTCTCTCAGAAGCCGCTCTGAGAGACGACCTCAGAATGCTGAGCCAGGTAGTCAGAAAGCCTGGCAGTTTTTGAAGATGAGGCATTGACGGGCAGTTGTATTCCTTATTAAGCAGCATCCACTTGCTTCTGGGTTCCCTTTCCCAAGGATCAGCTGGGTGTCCCAAGCATCTTAGCTTGCTTTGTCTTCAGTATGAACCATCATGAGGACTTCATGGTTGCAGCCTGGGACAAAAACATTTTAGGAACTGTTTTCTTGAGCAGGTCATTGTTCACGTTCAATCACAGTTAACAAACATTCTTAATTGTGTCTGGGGCTATCTTGACAAAATACTGTACCTCCTCAGCATATGAGCTGAATTAATTAGGGAAAGAGTTTTGCTCATCAGCAAAAGGAGAAACAAACAGGTTGAAGGCAAACTCTCCAAGCAAAAAAAGCCAGGGAGACAAAAGACAGAGATGGCAGATGTGCAGGCATCAGAGGTTTGCTCACTGATCACTCTGGTCTCTTTTTACACTACCAGGACTTTTAACCACGAAACCACGTGCACACAGCTCCGGCGGAGCCCAGTTGGAACACTGCACCTGCTCTGGGCCTCCAACCCATGCTGAGGAGCAGGGCTGAGTCCACACCTTCCAAAAGCCATGGAAACAGTGGCCTCTGACCCCCCAAAGCCCCTGCAAGATGAGTGAGTGGACATGACCATGGTGGGGCTGGGCGGGAAGAGAGTTAGGATTTCAGTAGAGGACGCTGGCCCCTGGCCAGTGGTATGGACAGCATGATCCTGCTTGTGCTCCCCAGACCTTAATGACGTGTGAGTGAGCTGAGAATGGGCCTTACCTGCTCTGTACAGAATGTTGCATTTCAATCCGCTGCTGCTACAAGATGGATTAGAAGTAATTCCACCTGTGAAGGCTCTGGGGGTGGCAGAGAATTGAGGTGATTCACCACAGCCACAGCCATGGCCCAAAGCGGAGTGGTTTAGTCATGTTTTGCTGCATCTGATAAGCAAAGAACTGCCCTAAAACTGGTGGTTTATTCATTTCAAAAGGCAAAATCATTACTTCCTTATCATGTAGCTCAGGAGTTTATTACCTTACTCTTTCTGTTGCATGTTCAAGGGAGTCCCAAGATAAGCTAGAGATGATCATTGCTAAAGCGATGGAAAATACAGATTTCATTAGGTTAAAGAAAAAGTCTTAGAGAAAATGCTGCATGTAGAGAGAAAATATGATGAACATTCTGGACGACTGAATAGGCTGAATAAATTGGGAGCATTTGAATGTGAGAGAGAAGCAGCTAAGACAGAAATCCTAACATGAATTTATTGTTCCCATATATATGTGATATATGATATAGAGATATATAAGGCATATCACTTCAAACTTGTCAGACCTATCTTGGGTCATTCCTGTGTGGCAGAAGGAAAGGGAAGCAGTTACTATCTACATTTGGCTCATGAAGAAAGAGAGCATATGAGTTAAGGCTTCTTTTAGACACCCCATGCCCAGCCTCTGACTCCTTTATCTATGACGCACCCATGTCCCCAGCATCACCTGTGCATTTCGACGCTCTAACATTCATGCTCCATTTCTTCAGTCAGTTCCAGCCCATAACTCCAGCAGTTTGCCCTTTCTCCCCCGCCATCCTGGCCAGCATCTGGGAAGCACTTGTGGCCAAGGACGCAGTCACCCGTGCTTGTCTCCTTGGCTAACACACAGGCACACAGCATTCTGTCCCTTCACCATAGATAAGCTGCCACAGAGCCAAGGAAACAGCCAGGGACAGGAAGCTGTTGCTTTGCTCAATGGGGTGATGTGTAAGGCAAAGCCAGCTGTGACTGTCACCCTAAGGTCCTCAGGAACACAAAGGTCTTTCAGGGAGCCTGTGAGTCGTTGGGCACACTCTGATCAGAAGCCACAAATGGCCTCTCCTCACGGCACAGCCCTCAGCATGAAAGCAGAGAGAGGCACAGACAGTCCCCAGCTTATGAGCTGGCTGGGTTCTGAGTTCATCTGTTCAGAAGTCAAGAATGTGTTTTTCCAGGAGGCATTGTTATAAATGGGGGAGGGGAATATGTTCCCAGAGGAACCAAAAAAATAAACATCTATTTAATGTACACCAAGAGTTGGCACATTTTTTCTGTAAAGGGCTAGATGGTAAATATTTTAGACATGATCTCTAAGACAATATATTTAAATATGGTCTCTAACACACAATTCTGTTTTGGCCTTGGGGGACCTAAGGGACAAATCTCTTAAAATGTAGATCCATTTTTAGTTCACATGAAAACAGGCCCATGGGCTACACAATTTGCTACCCATGCTCCACGCCAGCTTATGCTATCCATCAAACAATGCTAATGGTAAACCATGGGTTTGGGTGATCAGCACCCAAACATGCTTTTAAAAATAGGTCATTGGTACATCACTACTGGACTAAATTAATGTTCCCAACCTAAGTGAGCTGTTACATAGTGATGAGTTCTTATCCTCGTGGTTTCTAAGCAAGTAGTTGGAGCAGAAGGAAGCATGTGTTGCCTCCACACTGAGCCCTGTCTGGTCAGCAGAAACCCTGAGTCTAGGGTCTTCTGGGCTTCATAGAGAATCTCTCTACGATGATCTACCTAACTCAGAGCAACAACAGAAATCAGATGCCACTTGATGGAGGCTGGCCTGAAATTTTTCCCAGACTCTTTGAACCTTCCAATGTGGAGGTCCCCAGAAGCATTCTGGGCTTCTTGAAGAGGGATTCTGCCCACTGCACCCTTTTGAGTTAGGGCTTTGGGGAACCAACTTAGAACTCATTAGGAAGAGTCATGGGACACAAAGAACATCTAAAAGGCAAATTAGATTCTGCCTTCTGTTTCTCCCTTTCCTATTTTTCTCTTTGCTATAAATCTAGAATCACTTACAGAAGTAGGACTACTATAAGGAAACATACTTAGCCGACCCCAGGATTATGGAAGCCATGCTTCCCTGAACTAGTACTTCATCAGCTAGACCTCCTTCCCTTCTTCTCTAGCCTCAGTGGGCAGTGAGGAGGAGCACGATGCTCCCAGGTGTGATTAAGGCTCAGATCCCATGGCCTGAGTGCTGAGAAGGAAAATTCCATGGCTGGGCTGTGGGTGGGACAGTGGAGCAGATCTGGCCTGGTCTAGAAGGACCTGGAAATATTGGAGCCATTTAGCAAAAAGACCACAACCAACCTGGAAATGGAAAGGAAGGCTTGGCTGGGTTCTCGCTCTCTCTCTCTCTCTCTCTCTCTCTCTCTCTCTCTCTCTCTCTCCTTACAAGCAATGAAAGATAGTGTGTTAGATCCCCATTCCATGCAATATTGTGCTCCTCACTTTGAGTAAAAAAGATTAGAAGTTCCCTGGACAACTCTGATTCTGGTCCAGGCAGCTCCTCATGAGTCTAGGCCAGGAAAGGTAAGAACATGTCAAGGCCCTGGTCCCTCCAGGACCTTTCGTCTCCGCTTGGATCTCTGCCTTTCTGATCTTACTCAGCTCTTTCCTCAGGAAGAGCACAAGCATACCATGCAGCCACTTTCTGGGTGGTTTCTGGGGTGGTTTTAATCGCATGCCTCTTCTTTGTCAAGTTCTAGCTCTCACTGTTTGAACATCTCCACTGCGTGCTGCAAAGTCAACTTCTCTTCATCATATGTTGTTCCTTCTTTTGGTTCTTTCTTTCCTATTGACTTTTCTTCTTAGAAGCGCTTAGGGTCTCCAAGGCCTTGATGAACCCATAAAGTAACCTGGACTCCATGTTATTGTTGAGCAATGACTAATCCTCCAGGAGGCATACCCCAGGCAAAACTGTCAACTAGGCAAAGGGTGTTGCCTGTTCATGTGTTTTTAACAAGGCTCTGCTCCTTGTCAGTCGCCTCACACCAGTCCATCTACTCCGGGACTTTTATGAATTCCTCTTCTGACTTGTTCTGTCCTTGAACCAGGAAACTTTCTACTCCAAAAATTCTTCTTCCACCTGGATGTTCCAGTTTTTGCTGACATCACCAGCATTGGCAGCCCCTATGTTCACCCCCAGGCCCATTTTTACCAAGTACTGCACACTCTGTGTCTTCAGCAACATTGATTTCCTTACAGTTCTAGAAGCTGGAAGTCCAAGGTCAAGGTACTGGCTAACTGCCCTCCCTCAACCAATCTTATCTGTACCCTGAATCTTTACCTGGGCTTTTCTCTTTGTGTGCACAAATCTTTGTTGGAATTTCCACTTCTTACAAGAACACTGGTCACCTTGGATTAAAATATTTCCCTTCATTACCTCACTGAACCTTAATTACCACTTTGAAGACTATTTCCAAATTCAGTCATGTTGTGGGGAAACAGGAGTTAGAATTGAAATACGAATTTAGGAAGTACTCAGTTCAAATCATTTGATCCCACACCAAAAAAAAAAAAAATCCATAATTCTTCTCCTGGTTAGAGGTTTAAATTTAGCCCTTTTTGGTTATCTCTCCCCAAGTTTTTATGCCAATTATCTATAAAATATATTCGGCAACCAATTACGCACTTGCTTTTGATCTTTCTGGTGTGTCTAACATCTTTTCTTTGAATGGTACTTTGTATACACTGACCTTGTACAGGTTCTGACTTCTCAACTAGATGGAGAATCCTGAAGGGGAAGGACAGTTGTATCATTTAGTACACCCATAGCAAAACTCCAGCCCTCAAGGAAGAAAGCCCCTCAACTCCCAACCAGGTAAGGAGGGAGAGAAACAGACCAGAAGCTAAGAGACCAAATCTGCAAGAACTTGGAAATCCCTAGGAAAGCTCAGGTAACAGTTGGCAATCCTGGGGTTCCTAGAAAGTTACAGCTGTACCCTAATTAAGAAACAGAGTACAGCCATGAGGAATCCCAAGCTAGTTGTTGTCCTGAGGCAGGTGGGCATATGGTCACCCCAGAGATATCTGTACTCAGGACAGCAGACCCCCAGTACTGAGCTGGGCAGACCCTTGTCTATGAGGCAGGTTGAAGCAAATGAAGGTGAGATTGAAGATCAGGGGCAGTCCTAGTCCTGCCCTACGGGTCTCTTAGGAACCCTGTGATCACCCTGGTCCCCATCTCCTGAACTGGCCCGTCACAAGGCTATGATGATCACTCCTAGTAAAAGGCATGTTAACTCAGACCTCTGAGGAGTCACCATTAGTGCCCAAGCCTCCCAGAACTACAGTGATGCCATGCTCTGCCCTTCCATGGAGCCTTGAGTACCTCATTCTGCCCACCTTGCTTCTCTTAGGAAATTCTGCTGCTTTATAACCCAGTGGCACCCTTACCATAGGCAGGTTTACTGCCCCATGCTGCCACTATGACTGCCACAGAGTGATGACATCCCTCTGCCATGGCTCCTGCTGGGAAGAGAACATCTGTCCTCATTCGGAAGTCCCTGCTGCTCCCCACATTGGTGTCTGCTGCTGTGGGGGGGGGCATACTGCTCTGGTTTCCTTCCTCTTCCCTGGAGCCTCTCAGATAAAAAGGACCTCTGTTCCCACAATCTCCATCCAGTGGAGCATGCACCCTTGTCTAGAGAAACGTGATACATCAGCATCAACCCATCCTAGAAATGAGGGAGAGAGAAATCTCTTGAAAAAAGTCAGAGCCTACACAAGTATTCACTATATTAGAACCAAACGCCACCCCCAAACAGATGAGAATGCACATAGCTTTGTCTTAATGATTTATCCACTAAAAAGTGTCTTTGTTCTCCTCACTGGTCTATGTTCCTTTTGCCAAAGCTTGCCTTATTTTTCATTATGAAAAGAGTTGAGCTAATTGAAGTCTCATGAGACGCATGGCCCATAAATCAAAGCCTGAGCACAGGTTAACGAGTTCTTGCCCCCCAGTGCCTCCACTCCCCAGTGCCTGTGTCATACCAGAACTGACAGCGGTTGTAAAAGGCAGAGAAGGGAGGGACGTTGATGGATGGTTGGTTAGGGAGCAGCTTTCATCTATAAACGAGGGTGCTCAAATTAACCTGACAATAAGGAACCTACTAGAAAGTATGCCATCAAGTATTTTTAAGAGTAAGACATGCAAGCACTCCAAATATTTAAATAACAATCTATTGCCAGTTTTCTACAAACTTGTTGTTCTAGACTGAAATGCATATTAAGAAGTAATTTTTTGCTTGCTTTCAGGCAGATCCCTGGAGCTAGCTGGCCGGCCAGCCGGCCTAGTTGATTCAGTGAGTTTCAGGTAAAAGTGAAAGACCATGTCTCCAAAAACAAGGTGGACAGCTCCCAAAGAATGACACCTGAGGTCGTCTTCTGACCTCACTTGCATACACACACAACACACACACACACACACACACACACACACACACACACACACGCACGCACACTATTTTTAGAATACCTGCCCCATGCCAAACCCTTTAACAACCTTCGGGATGGTAGGGGACAAGATTTTACAGTTATGCTATAGAAGAAACATTTCACAGAGAACCAGTACAGTGATCTATGTGGGAGTATAAAGAGGAGAGAGAGCAAAGTCTGTAGGGAGTTTGGGAAAAACAGAAGACTGGAACTTGACCTGGCCTATTTCTCCTGGAGTTTTCCTATGTGAACCTGAACCTGCCTCCACTTGCTGGCCCTTAACCTTCCCAGCCCCACCCAGACCCCATCACAGAGGGAGGGAAGTGAGAAGGGACTCAAGAGTAATATAAAAAGAGCAACGGATGGGTAGTCACGGTCCTATCTCATAGCAACTCTGAACATGTCCTTTGACCACTCTGATACCATGTTTTCACCTGTGAAATGGGGAACAGATGAGATGTGAGTTCAGGAAAATGACTCACAAACTGATAAAGCCTATGTAATCGTGGCAGGCCTGCACCACACTCCAGTTCCCTCCCATCTTCATTTCCCCTCCCCGTTGCTCCCTGCCTATGACAGTTCTTAGAAAATACCTCACTTAAGGCATCTGCAAGCCCTGAGCACTCCACATGTGGGAAGAAACAGTCCATGTCTCCTCCTGTCGCTGTCATCCTGCCGTATGCTTATCTGGAGAATTTGCCAGCACCGCCCAAGACACTGGTTTCTGTTTAATTAGAAAGGAGATCAGAAACAGGAGGTGTGGCACTCCGAAACTCAGATCTTGGCTCTCGGTTATCTGCCCCCACCAACCCTGCCATTTTCTTTGGTTTGGAAATATCCTTACCTGGAAATTTTCTTTAATTAAAAAAGAATCAGCCCCCCTGGCCTACTTTGAAGATCTCCACCAAGCTTGGGACTGTAGACATTCCAGAACAGAATGCCCAAACAAGGCTGGTGCTTCCCTGTCTTCCCAGCCCTGGCGACCTACTTGGCACTGAGAAATATTTGAGGTTATCACAGCTGTCCTGTGAAAGGCGATGCAAAAAAATGCAGTCGTTACATGAAAGGTGCACATGTCTACAGACTGATGTGATGGAAAGAGAGGTCTGACTGCTGGAAAGAGAGGTCTGACTGCTGGAAGAGGGGACAGGCTTGAGCACAAAGCTTGGGTTTAAATTTGTCTAAGGAAACTGGGCTGCACAGTGCCTGGCAACTGTCAGATGTAAATGTTTACGAGACAAACAGCAATTCCCAATCATAAGCAGGGACAGTTTGGGTCTCAGTGGGAATTGAGTGCCTGTCATGGGAGCTCAGGCCACACTCTCAGTTCTTCTTCCACGCCCTTCCAGACAGGTCAGACATTACTGTGGATACCTGAAAGGTCCTCTGAGCAGATGGCTTGACAGGAAGGTCCATACCACAGGCTCAGCTGGGTGCCACTGTCTCCGGCAGGGAATGGTCACCATCTTCCTGCCAATGGTCTCTTGTGACTCAGAATCACAAATTTGCCTTAAACAGAGGGAAAAAGTCACTTTCAGAGCTGAGGCTCTTGGCCCAGCTGTGCTTCAGATAAACACAGTCCGTGGCTATTTTGGTCATCTGGGTTTTAAGGAGCAGCTGCTGAATCATGGCAAGAGCCAAGGGAAGAGTGTTGGCCCAAATGAAAGTCAAAAGCTTCCACTCCTTTTGGTGCTGGGAGAGAGAAAGCTTGATCCCTTAGGGTGGGAGTGGCATGGGACTGACCTGCAACAGGAGAATGAGTCTCCATTCCAGCAAACCGCTCTTTCAAGGTCTGGCCCTCTGAAAATGGATATTTGGGCTCCGGGGTAAAAATTCTTACTCTGTGAAAGGATAACAATTTTATC